AGTAAATGACAGTTCGGTGTCTTCATCAACGACACTAAATAACAGTGCCGGCAATGGCACCCAGACGACATTGCTCAATGTCACCGGTGGCAATGGCAGCCGGACGGCCACACTGGGCCGCATGGGCAACAGACAAGGTAGGATGATGGTGGGCAAAACCCAGCCAGAGGTGGAGGTGATAGCTTCAACTAACAACAACAACAATAATAACACAGAATCGAATCATGCACACGAAGGAGAGGGGATGGGAGAATCGCCATCCAATGACACCAAAATAATGATGGGTGCTGGAATTTCCACAGATTTATCTACGGAACTACACAACATGGAAAATGTAACATCCAACCAGGGAAGGGCCACAAATTCCCCTGAGGATGGTGTGACCGAAATTCAAAGACTGACAGGGGCCACGGAAACGGAAATACGTGTGGCGGCCGAACAACAGACAACCCCCAACCAACCAGCGGACAACAAAATCCTGGCACGCAAATCCCACCTCCAGAGAGTTGAGCAGTTTTTTGTAAATATTTTCTTTAAACGGCGTTCTACGGCGCCCAACACCTGTCGCGACAGCCAGCGCAGTCATGTTGGCCTCCTGGGTGGGAAATTTTGGAAACGTTCCGAGGCCGCATCGCCCTTTGCCGCAGAGCATAGACTAAAGGGCATACGCAGCAGTGGCAGTGGTAATTAAATAATTTTTTTTTTATTTCTCTTTTTTGATTTGCATTTTCCATTTTTTGTTGTTGTAACAATTTTCTTTTCATTTTTTGCTTTATTTATGTTTTTTCTTCTTCATTTTGCCAAACATTTTCGTTTTTTTTTTTTTTTTGCCACGTATTTAGTTACCTATAAGAAATGCGCTAAGACAACAGCATCCAACACCAGTACAACAAACACCATTAGCACAACCACCACCACAACGATGAGCAGTAGATCTCTAGAGAGTCATAGCACAACAACAACAAATCACACTAATACAACAACAAATTTAATCACTACCACTCCAGTAATCACAACGGCCATCAGCCAACAACAAATACCTCAGCCACAGACACTAACACCTCAACATCCACAGAGTCCACAAGTGGTTCGAACACAACCACAACCTCAGCCACAACCTCAACAACAACACTTACGCCCATTACCAGTATCGATGATCTCAACGGGGCCTTCCTTAAATACCAATCACCCGGTTATATACGCCGACCCCAAAAACGTACGCAACACCAGCAGCGCCACTACCAACGTCAAACGAACAGCAGCAGTCGTCATCAACACCACCAACAGCAACAGCACAACAAACGTTACACCATCTACAGCATTGAATCGGCCGGGGAACACACCCGCAGACACGATCAGCCTAAATTCGAGTACGCGCTCCACCCGCAAGGGTATTTTAAAGGCACCCACACCACCGCCCAGACCGCCACCACCAATACGGCGGGTGGTTGTGTCGCGCCGGGAATCCCAGGCCCAACCACAACAAGCGCGTCCCTTGGCCAAACGATTGGTTCAACGTTCGGTCAGTCTGGTCTGCCCCGGCCCCAAAACCGAAAGAGTACAAAGTAAGATTTTTGGGTTTTCTTATCATTTGTTTGATTTCTCATTTTCACTTTCAGTTCCAAATCATTTCATCTGCAAGTAGGTCTTCATTGAAGAGAGGTCACATCCATAATTTACTCATATTTAGGCTAGCCATGAAAATTTTAGAAAATCAAAAGCAAAACGCTTTGAAATATCAGTTGTTGGAAAAATGTAAAAAGAGTGGCTAATCTCTCTTTATTCCAAGCTCAGAAAGTGTGGATTTTGTCTAAACTTTGGTAGTCTATTCTCAAACCCTACATTCCGATTTTTAATCCTCTCCGTGTTTCTACCACAGTTTTTTCTTCTACGCCTAATAGTAAGCATTCAAATCTGCAATATATTTTCCAACATATTTTTAACCATCTCAAACCATATCCCAAAATTTAATTAAAGCAGCAAGCATATTCCATTATCGCCTAAAAGTATACCATAAAAAATGAATTAACAATCCCAGCTATTAAAGATAATTCGATGACTTAGCCCAAGATTATTAGCAGTTAGACAATAAGTAAGAAAGCTGGCAAAATGGTTTCTGGTATTAAACCATTTAATATTAGCGCCATCTTTACTTCATATTTTCTTAAACAGGACTAGAAGAATATAACCACTTATTTTTAGCGCCATCTTTACTTCATACTTTATTAAGCAGGTCTAGAAGAATATAATCATTTAGTATTAGCGCCATCTGAACTTCATTAAAATTAAAAACCACTTGCTTCATATTATATTCAATTCGATCATAGATGGCGTCCTTTATAAAACGTGTTATGAACGATTTTCTTCTTTTCCCCCATAACCATTTACTTTCCCATCAGCCCTTATTCTCCTAAATAATACTTCTTTTAACTTATTTTACTGAGAACTTGCTCCTGCTCGTTGTATTTCAGATTTGATTTATTCTTGTTCCGTTGAAGACACTATCTTCGTTTATCACATTCCTATCGTAGACCTCTTAAAAAATTGCTTAAGCATGATTTATCATTGCTTCCTGTCGGCAGTTATCAAAGGAAGTTCCTTCACCTAAGACGTTCTGTAAAAATACCCTTCTCTGGATGTTAAAGATGGCTATATTCTGCTTTTAAACCATTTAAAAAAATAGTATACATTTAAATATAGGCTGCATTCTTCAGAGCCTATAGTAATTATAAATTAATTATGTTTCCCCATTAACTCCCTACTATCAATTTCTCTTTAGCATTTCATTTCTTTCTACAAGTTTTATTGGGAATTTATTACGACCATTATATGCCCGACGTTTTGTAAAAAAGTCGTTCCCTCGGTCCGGTTTTAAAACTTAAATCACACTTCCCAACTTCTCACCAAATCTGCGTGTTTCCGTCAGCAGCTCTCAAGGACAAAATCTTTAAATAGTTAGATAGTTGTGAATAATTTTATAAAATTTGAATTTCGCTTTAAAAACTCATAGATAAATATCAAAAAATTAAGAATAGGTGTCATTCTTCATATACTCCTGTTTTTCCATAAACACCCTACTATCAGTGTCTCTTTTGAAGTTCATTTCTTTCATCAAGATTTATTGGGGTTTTGATCTGATTGTTATATGCCGCACATTTTGCAAAAAAAATCATTCCCTGAATACGTTTATTCGAGATAAGTTTCACTTCTCAACTTATTTAATAAATTGAGGCATAGATGGCGTTCTTCTTAATATATTTGCCCCAGTTTCCCCATATACTTCCTACTATCACTTTCCATTTTTTATTTTATTTCTTTCAAAAATAAATCAAGTTGTGGAAACTTGTTCTGTTCATTATATGCCAGATAATAATATAGGATATTCTAATTTAATTTAATATATTGTTGGATCTCATTAAATCCGTGCTTTCTGTCGGCAACTCTCAAGGAAAAAAACTTTTATTTAAAACGTTCTGTGAAAAAATCGTTGAAAAATTGAATTTCGCCTCAAAGCTCTGAAATATAAGACATTTATGCTCATATGCTCCTGCTTCCCCATTAACGCCCTACTAATAGTTTCCCTTTTGAACCTTGGTTTTTTCATCAAGTTTTACTGAGGTTTTGATCTGATTGCGAAAAACATATACCCTGAATTCGTTTGTAAAAGTTTAATTTCGCTTCGCAACTGTTTTATTTATCTGCAAATCTTTGTTCTTCATAGTATATGGTATGGGCGTTTTGCGCCTTTTTCCCCATAAACTCACTACCATTTTTCTATTTTATTTATTTGTTTTTAATAAGTTTTATTGGAGACTTTTTCTGCTCCGACTTATTTAAAACTATTTCACCTAAAGGTATTAAGTCTCGACAAATCTGTTTTCTCTGTCGGCAGCTCTCAAGGCAAAAAATCTTCATCCAAAATGTTTTGTGAAGAAATCGTTCTGAATAATTTTTGAGAAGTTGAATTTCGCTTCAAAAACTCGGAAATATAATACAATTAATTATGGCGTCCTTCATATGTTCATATGTCTCTCAAGCCTTTTTTACATTTTTCCAACAACGAATCTTGCCCCCATGCCCATTTAACTCTCATAAATTCCAAATCGATGTTGTGTTTTTCATTACTTCCACATAGAATAATTATTTGTCTTTTATAAACACTTTTTATTTAATGTTTTTTCTATAAATGTAAGTAATTCTTAATGCTTCATCCTGTGAAGTACTTATCTGAACAATGAAAAAATAACCGAAATTCAAAATCAACAAAAACTTATAATTGAATATATTATATTGTTCAACAACGACAACAAAAACAAGTAAGCAAACCAAAAGCAAAAAAATTTCAATCATTCATTAACCCAAAACAAAATGTTGTCCTGAGCCCCTAAATGTTTATAATTTGCCAAAATCAAAAAATGCCAAACAAAAAAATCCAAGCTTTGCAGTGTTGTGTTTTTTTTTTTTCTCTCTCCTGTAAACAAGTGTTTTGAAGTGTGTTTTCTATTTTGAATTAACCAATTAATTTCCAAAGCATGTGTGTTGCGTTAACTTTGTGAATATTTCAATGTTTTTTTTATATATATTTTTATAAACAAAAAACAATTTTTCTTAGGGTCTTTCTTTTTTATCTTATATGTTTTGGAGTAATAAATTTAAGTTAGTTTTTAATGTAATAGGTTATTTTATATTTCTATAATTTTGTGTACTTTATGTGTTTTTAATTTTTTATTAATTAATTTTTCTTTTTTATATTTTTTCCTCCTCCAAAAAATCTGAAAATCCTTCTTCCCCTAAAAAAATAAAAAAAACTCAAACGTTGTGTTTAAATACCTTATTAATACAACTCTGTCATCTACTACTACTACAACAACTTCAACCATCTCCTCAACCAACCAATCACCATTTGCCCTCCTCTTTTGGATCAACGTTTGAACACAAAATGTCTCACTGCTGTCTGAAATAAATTTGGACCGCCTTTCAACCACCTGTTTGCCATTTAGCAGTGCAAGAGAAGTCATCTTCTATGGCGGATCCATTAACGGAACCTGGAGAGTATGAGAATTTGCCGTTCCATGGCCTGCAAACGGCCCCTAATAAGGTACTTATGTTTTTTTATTTCATTTTTCGTTTTTTTACACAACTAGTTTTCCAAAACATTTTTAAATTAAATTTGTTTTTAATATTGATTTATTAAATACACTTTCTATTTTTTATTTCCTGTGAAAGCTTTTATTGTCTACCTCTCTCTATATATCTTTCATACATTACATGAACACCCACGTACATGCATACATACATTAATCATCTCTCTTTTTCTTGGTAATTTGCCGTATCGTCATAGCCTCAATTTTATTTCTCCACTCATCGTCACTCAATGTTTGAGCCCATTCTATGTAGCTTTGAAATCATACCTTACATCATGCATTCCTCGTGGTCATTTTGTAATGTGGCTTTGTTGTCATTATCTATGTAATTTTGCCGATTACTTTCTTTTTCTCTAATTTTTTATTTAATTAGCTAGGTTGTTGAAACTCGTAGGCGGTTTGTTTAAAAAAAACACACCACACTCTCTTCTACACTGCAGTATGAGTTCTTTCTTCTACATCCAAACCAGTATTGTTGTTGTATGTTATAAACAAAAATATATATTTTTTTAAAATATGCATATCCCAATCGTTATTTTCTTCTATATATTTTAAGCAAATATTGTTGTCTATTTTGGGTTTCCTTTTTTATAAATTTTTATTTGCTTTGCCAAAATATTCTTATATAAGCTAATGTGGTTGTAAATTATTTGTATGTCATAATATTTATTATTTTTTTTTTAAATTTCTATGTTCTCTATTTACATCTTTTGGTTAAGTATTTATTGACTTTAGTTTTATTACTTCGTTTAAAAATATTTTAATTTTTCTAGTATTGATTTAGTATTTCTTAATTGTGTATTTTCTTATTTTTAAGATTTTTCTCCCATTTCTGTGTAATTTGTTATAGATTTTTTATAAATCACCAAGACATTGATATTTTTAAAAAGGAGGTGTAACTGATATGTATTAAAAAGCAATTAAACATTAAAAAATAATACAATTAATCAGTGAAAAATAATATTTGTAAAATAATCATTATGTTATAAAAGTGTAACAAAATCCAATACCAGGACGTATTGATAAGTCTCTAACTTTTTCAACATCCCTAGTAATTATATTTATAGCAAAAACAATATGATGGGTATCATGTAACACCTATTAATAGATTACTGTCAAATTTTAAGTAAAGTCCGCCTTAAAATAATTATTTTTGGTGTTCCGTTGTAATTTCTCATATACAGATGGCGCGGACGATTAAAATTGGCTTCCAACTTTCGTTTAGACCCCCTTGGCACTAATTTTTCTGAACTGCCAAACGATGTTATTAAAACAAATACTAGGGCGTATTTGTAAATCCGTAACTTTTCCAATTTCCATCGCAATTATATTAAAAACAAAACTACCCACATTGAGCGCCATCTATATTTAGAGTACTGTTAACATTTACCTGTAGGACGAAGCATTGATTATAACGAATAAAAAATTCATTTCTAATTTTTGTTTAGCTTTTTGAAGCATAGATTAGTCCTAAACATACTTCAGATAAGTTTCGTTTTGATTTTTCATGTATAGATGGCGCAATGCGATCGGAACTGTCAAGTAATGTTTGTAAGTCGGCAAATGTGGAGAAATTTCACAAAATGATGGTGAACCGGATCTCTCGATTTCAGTACCTTAATGTATTGAAGATTAAAAAAATAATTTTGGGTTCTATTGTCGTTTTCCATGCATAGATGGTGCTTCTAAGACCTCAAATATCGGAAATATTAACTATGTGATGTTTGTCCGATTGTGCCGGAGCTATAAATTTCCTTAATTTTTTGTGCGATTAAAAGTTGCTAAGTTTCTTTGTGTTTTCCATATATAGATGGTGCCAACATTATAGATTCCCAATTAATGTTGATAAACCAAAAAATTAGAAAATATTCTCCATGTGACGTCATCCAATTATAGAATAAAACTTCTAGTTGATTGTAGGGCCTTCTTGCAAAAACGGCAACATTTCATGCATTGGCTCCTTAACGATCTGGGCGATCAAACATGTAGTTTCTGAGTTTCAAGTGTAGATGGCAGTGAAAGTTCCGCACTACCAATTGATGTTGATAGACCTGAAAATGTTGGAAAAAAATTCAAAATTCGAATTTAAAAGACCTGTTAGGCTTACAATACTATGAAGATTGTTTAATTTCAGGATGGGGTTAGATAAAAAAAATCTGCCAATCAAGTGGATAGTTTTCTTGTGCCTTGCTACTTTAAGCTTCTAAAAGTTTCGTTGTGTTTTCCCATTTATAGATAGCGCAAAATTTTCTGATCTTAAGCTAAAATGGTCGAAATGGTAGGACGAGTAACATAACCGGGGAATTATATTTCAAAATGTCTCTTATTTATTCTCCCAATTATAGATGGCGCTAAATGTACTGCACATAAGAACTATAAAATTAAAAAAAAAATAAAATTGCGGTTATTGATTACTCAAGGGTCAAGCACAGAGAATTCAGCCCCCCAGCTTGAAAGACTATCGGTCGCAGTGGAGAGAAATTTGTTTCAGTTGAGAAGAGCAAAGTTTATGAGACTATTTTATAGTTTAATTTTTTAGGAGTACTGTAAGTGATGAAACTCCATCAAAATTTGGCAGTGGTAGTAGAGTGATATGAATAGTATTTTTAATGGAAAAAAATTACTCAAATAGCTGATATATTATATTTTCCTTGGATTTTTAGTATTTCTACTTAAAAGATCCTACAACAGAAAAAATAACGAAGAACGATCTTCTGTGCTACGCGCTTTATATTAGTATTTCCGCCAATTGAATGTTGGAAGTAGCGTTAATATTTCTTCTCTTTTCAAAACTGGCAACAAAATGTCCCTTTTTTAATATGCCATGTGATCTGAATAAAATCTGGTAAAAAAGGTATAAAGCGTTGACGCCAACATTTTCAGATATTTTGAATTATATACCCCATTGACGAACTATCATTTTTTTTATCAATGCTTATTTCGATTCATATTTAATATAAAATCCTAAATGTATGCAACATGAAACTCTCTCGCTCACGGGCTTGAGAAACTCTCACATACAATCAAATATTTCATTCCATTAATCTCGAAGATAGAATATAGATATGGACAATAAGTACCCCATAATTTGAGAGATAGAGAGTTTGTGGGAGAAAAATGTTCCCTTGTTAAACAATCTCTGAGAAAGAGAGAACAATTCTAGTTTGTTATTACGGCACCATACATGGATGGATATCGATTAAATGGTTCATTCGATAACTCTCCCACACACACACATTCAAAATTTTTAATAATTCTGTAATCTTAGGGACTCCCCTTTAATTGCCAACCGAGGGATTTGTAGAAGAGAACAATGGACAGGTTATTTTGGCAATTCGAACTTCAACCCGTAGCTGTCCTCTTATACAATTACTTACTTATACTTTTTTAAAAAAAAATTCGAAATTTTTATACATTTTTAATAAGCAACTTATTCTTTATTTTTTCCAATATTTTGAGTAAAACATGTTTCTTGTTCATTTTTCAAACCTTATCCAAATATTAATTTCATTTAATATTTTTTCATATAATGAATTTTTTTAAGTAAATATTTTTTATTTATTAAGTTATGCCCTAACAACTATAAATCAAAACCCCTTTTGAAAATATCAATGTCTCAACATCACCCGAAAATCGAACAACTCAAAACTACATTAGGTGTTGTAAAATATTTGAAAACAAATTTTGAAAATAAGAAATCTCAATATTACAATTTTAGCACTTTTCCCTCCTCAACACCTCACACTTTTTGTATAATTTTTAAAGAAAACTTTTTTTAAAAAAAATCTTCCTAACCCTAACAAACACACCAACACATATAACTCAAAAACTTATTTTTTAAGCAAAATAATGGAACTAACCCAAATTCTAATAAAAAATGTTTTTCCTCTTTTTTGTGTCTCTTTTTTGCGTGTAACCCCCTAAAACAAAAAAACGAATAATGCTGTACTAAAAATACCAAACTAATGCCTGAATTGCTTGTGCTAAACTACCATCCATTAAATGTGAAAAAATAAAACGGATCTCTGGCAAAAAATTCGAAACTTCAAACTTGAATACCCCTCAAAACCCAAATTGAAAAAAATACCATGCACCTTTTAACTGCTTGCAAATAAAATCTCCTCCACCACGAACAACATCCAACAAAAAAATCGCCAAATAAATAGTTTACTACTCCTACGACTCCTACAAATTTTAATAACAACACAAATGTGGTGCGCAGTGTGCCACGACCCAAGAGACTCAATGGAAATATCAGCCAAACAGCCCCCAGCTACTACGATGAACAAGAAACAGACTCACAGCAACAACAACAGTATTATCAACAGCAGCAGCAACAACAACAGCACCATCAATACAGCACCATGCCCTATAACCGTCAAGTCAATCCGGTGAACAACGCCCGCCCTGATGGCGGTATCATTGTCCACAACAACACCCTGACAGCCAACACTTTGCAACACAATCAAAACGGTTCGGCTCTAAGTGGTAGTGGTGGTGGGGGCAGCAGTCCAAATCCTCATCAAATGGCATATAATCTCAATAATTGCTTCCCCAAAAGTTACACCGAATACTATCAGAATCAACAACAGCAACAGCAGCAGCAACAACATCATCCATTCCAACAAAAGTACGGCAGCAGTCCCTCGGCATCGTTGGGCGCCAACAATCCCAGTCAGCTTAATGCCATCGAACATGATTTCAACACGTATGCCGTGGTGGAGCGTCCCCACAACACCCCTGCCTCGTCGGTGTCCTCATCGTCAATGGGTGTGGGCCGCACCACAAATCCATTTTTGGCAGTCAGCAATTTCAAGAAATTCGATACCTCCGGTGATGAGGATCTGCAAAATGGAGGTGCCTCAAATGGGGCTGGTGGTGGTGGCAACTATCAGACCACCTCCATGAAACGCCAGGGCAAACGCAAAACATTTGTGGACAAATTGGAAGATAAACGTTTCTATTCCCTGAAATTTGCCGGCAACAAACACAACAAAGCTTCGAACAAAAATGCTCCCTTGCATTTGAATGCTGCCCTCATTGCCGAGAATAATGGGGTGAGCAGTGGACGCGTCCATGAGGATGTCTTTACGGGCAGTGGCAGTGGCCGGGCCACCGATGCCGGTATGTTGGCCTCGCTGCTTAGCGCTTCGGTGGGCGGCAACAAATGTAAACGTCATCATTCTTTTGCTGGTGGTAGCCTTGGCGATATTGAATCCAAGGGCCCTGGTCTGAGAAATGGCCTGCATTTCTACGATCCTCCGGCCTATGAAAATGTCAATGATGCGGTCCAGGTGCATGCCTCTGCCGCCCTGAGTGACATGGAGTTGCCAGATCCCATGTCCTCGGCCGGCACAGCAACGGTGCTGCTGCACCCCTTGCCACCCTATACCGGCCACAATGGCACGGCAAGTGCGGTTGGCGGTGGCACCGGAGGATCCCAGGGTCCAAAGAAAAAACATCACCAACGCCAGCACCAGCCCAAGGAAGATCTAAATCTAATCGAGCCGGAACGTTTAAGCATTTATCGCAGCGACTCGGGCATATCGAACTCCTCGTATGAATGTGTCACGCCCATACCCAATGGTGGTGGAACGCAGCGGGGCCAATCACCGGCCACCAAGACTCCACGCACTCCCAAGACACCAAAGACGCCCAAGGGCCACAAGAATTCCACCTTGGCCCATTCCGCCGTTACGGCCAGTTTCAACAGCTCCCACAAGAAGCCGGCGCCCAGAGTACCACCCACACCGCTATACATGAATGTCAACGATCAGTCGAATCAGGCCATACACAACTTGGAACGGCCCTCATCGCCCAACTCCAACATGGCCACATCGGCCTATGAGTCAGCCTCCTCGTCACAAAATGACACGACGTGCAACGATCCAACATCCATGTCCTCGACAACGTCACTCTACAATGGCGGCGGCGGTGCCACGCCCAACTCTAAGATGCTACCGCCCGGTATGCGTTGCAATCGCCATCAACCAGCCCCCGAACTGACCACACCCGAGGAGTATGAACAATATCAATTGGGCCATCACAGCCATGCCCATTCGGCATCATCGCTGTCGGTGGCAAGTAGCATAAGTGCCAGCGGTGTGGGCAGCTCTGCGGTGGGGAGAGCGACGAAATGTAAGAAACAACAGAGAACATTGGCTGGAGGGGGAGGGGGTGCGAACATTAATCTAATGGAGGTAAGTGTGGCCTAACAAATGCTATACTAATGCTTCACAAGAGCGATTTTTATTTGAATACTAATCGAGAACAATTGGAGACTTTTGGGATCGAAAAATACTAAAAACATTTCGAAAAAGTCTCCAAAATTGGACCATTTCTTCAATTTTCAAAAAAAAAAAAAATTTCACTTTCATTAAAGTCTACAAAACATTACCTCAATAAATTTTTAAATTCTACAAAGTCTCCAAAAACGTTATTTCTTTAATTTTCGCTAACCGTACATTTCAGTTAAATTCAAATTGTTTGAAATTAACATACTTTGAATTAGAAAACTATTTGCAATGAAATTCCATAAATTCTACAAAGTCTCCAAAATTTTAATAATTTAATTCTCTCCGGAAAAATGTTCAATTTCGTTGCAAATTGTTGAAAAATCATATATTTGGAATTTTGTAAACTATTTGCAATAAATTTAAAAAAAAATCGCCAACTCTTAAAGTCTCCAAATTTTTTTTTCTAAAAAAGTATATTTTTATTCCTAACAAATTGTTGAAAATTAATTTATTATACAGTGAGTAGCAATTTCCAATAAATTTCCATAAATTCTTAAAAATTAAAAAGTCTCCAAAATTTAATTTATTTAACTTTTCCAAGGACAAATATTCTGATTTGTTATAACTTATTGTGAATAAACGTATTTTGCAGTAGGCCTTTATTACCAATAGCTAGCTATTTCCAAGAAATTTCCATAAATTCTTAAAAATCAAAAAGTCTCCAAAATTTTATTTCCAAATTTCCAAAGATAAATATTCTAAATCGTTATAAATTATTGTAAATAAACGTTTTTTCACTAGGCCGTTATTGCCAATAAATTTTAAGAAATTTAGAAACTCTACAAAGTCTCCAAAAATTTAAATTCATGAGTTATCGCAAAAAAATGTATATATATTTTTATTTTTGAAAATATATTTATAGTATGAAACTATTCCCAAGCAATTTTCATAAATTTAGAAACTCTACGAAGTCTCCAAAAAATAATAATTCCTTAATTTAACAAAAAAAAAATGTTTTTTTTTTTATCGGTTAAGAACTAATTTATTTTTCTGTGTAGTACTACTATTTCCAATAACTTTCCAGAAATTTCCGAAACGCCAAAAAGTCTCCAAAAAATATTAATTCTTAAATTTTATTTTATTTCAAATTTTTTGAAAATATTACACAGAGGTAGGCAACTGTTTCCCATAAATTCTCAAACTTAAGAAACTCTCCAAAAATTTTAATTTTATAATTTTCCAAAAAAGGAACGTGTTCCAAGTCATTTAAAATGAATAAATTTTGCAGAAGGCAATAACTTTCTATGAATTCTAAAACTCTACAAAGTCTCCAAAATTGTGAATTCTTTCATTAAAAATGAATATTTCAGTTAGTTACAAATTGTTACCAAAATAACTATTCCCAATAAATTTTTAAAAAATTTCGTAACCTCTACAAATTCTCCAAAAATATTGTTTTTTTAATTTGTCCATTAAATAATATTTGATTTATGTGTTTGATTTCTCCTTCGAGACGAGCTTAATGATCTGAAATTTGCAGTGAAAAGGAAAGCCAGATAGACACTATCACACACTCACCACTATGCGACGCGTTTCGCCGTTGGTTAAGCGGCTCATCAGGCATATTTGGTGTGGATGATGGCTTACAATTTGATTTAGTTGAAAATTAGTCTCCAAAAGTATTATTTCTTAAATTTTTCCATAAAATAATATTCGATTTCGTTGAAAATTATTCGAATTAAATATATTCCCAATAAATTTCCAAAAATTCTTAAACTCTAGAAAGTCTCCAAAAATATTAATTCTTTAATTTTTCAAAAAAAAAAAATATTTTGTAATACATTTGTAATTTATTCGAAATAGACATATTTTGCAGTAGGTAACTGTTCCAGATCAATGCCCACAAATATATAAATTTTTCCAGGTCTCCCAAAAAAAAAAAAAAAAAAAAAAAAAAAAAACATTTTTTTTTTAATTTTCCGTGAAATATTATTTTTTATCAAATTTTCAAGTCTATGAAAGTTTGTAAAATTTTATTAAAAAATTTACCAAAAATTCCTAAAATTTTCAAAATTTTCTTTAAAGCTACAAAAGTCTCCATTTTTTTTAAACCATTAATTTCCAAAGAAATTTTTAATAAAAATTATTTTTTTTAATTAAGTCTAAAAAAGTATTCAACATTTAGTTGTTTAATTAGAGAAAAATAAAAGTCTACACAAGTCTCCAATTTTATTTAATATTTATTTTTTTTCAATTTTTCTAATTTTTGTTCTTAATTTTATTTTCATGTTTTATTTGAAATACTGGAAAATCTGCATGTTTTGCTTTTGAAACAAAAAACAAACAAATAACCCGCACACACCCACAACTCGGCACACAACCATTTTTTCCGTTCAATTTGATTCGACTCAAAAACACAGACTAACCAGCTTAACAAACGCCTGCTTGCTCATAATCCCTTTCTAGCAACAAATCCTGCCGCCTCCACCGCCACCACCTGCACTAAGAAATTTCGACGACAGACTATCTGCGACCCCTACGCACATATCAAAGACATCCACGCCACACATCAATGGAGACAACTGCAGCAGTATCTTAATGCCAACGGCAGCGGGCAAGCCCACAATTATTGCCCCCAATCCCCGAACGCGTTCCCGGCAACAGCAGCAGCAGTCGGCGCATCAGACAAATCATCAGCATGTGTCGCTACTAAATCACACCAACAACATGGTCAGTCTGAGCAACAACAGTCTGAGCAAATTGGCCTACAACAATTCGGCAAAGCTACCCTCCTCCCTAATGTCCAGCAACGGTCTGATGAACGGTCACGCGAACAGCAATTCATCAGTGGTGGCAGCAGCAGCAGCAACAACAACACCGGCCACACACGCCATCAACAACAAATGCTAATGTTTTACAACAAAAATATTGACACTCGAAATGCCAATGACACTGACAACAACAACAAAAACAACGACGACGACGATGACAATGACGACAAGCAACGACCGCATAACCATAACACCGAAACAGTTGCCAGCCGAGATAATGATGCCGATGATGCTGATGATCAGGTGGGTGGCAACACTGGTCTGGTTAAGGCAAAAGCTGTTACAGTTATTGGCCTCCCCTATCGCAGCCAATCGTTTAGCCTGCCCACACCCCTCTCGCCACCACACAAGAGCTTAAATTGTGATGTTGCTGACATTGATGAGACAAAGAAGACGAAGAATGGGAAACATAATAAAGGGTCATTGCAATACCACCACCACCAACAACAACAACCACAACGAGTAGAACCAGATGTAAGGGATCCTTGTATAGCCGAACTCTCGAATAGACCAAAATTAGCCATGACAATTGCAGCACCTAATCAAAGCCATTACAATCCGACATTGGGCTGTGTGGGTCGACCCGTCAAGTTGCCGCTGCGTAAATATCATAGCTTCCATTTCCAGCCCACACAGATGGTGGCTGGCCAGCAGTTGTGTAAATTGCAGCAATTAAGGGCCAAGCAACAGCAACAACAACAAGGGGTTTATGATTTGTCACAAGTTATAACAAGTGGAGAGTTATATGGGGGTACTTCTGCTCAACCAGAGAAACCACCATTAAAGGAACAACATGAGTTGTATGGCCAAAAGGGACCCTTGGTATTTCGTCCTTTTGAGTTAAACAAGGAGGTAACCTTTAAGCCCATACAGGCTTCGGAGGAAAGTGAGGATTCCTTAGATTTGCATCGGGAGGCCAGGGTAGGTGTTGGGAAATCCCAGGGGGAATTGTATTTGGATTCAGGAGATTTTACCAATTTCACCAAGCTTTCGGTGGCACCTGAGGGCGCCTTAAACCAAGATGGAAATGGTAATCAGGAACTACCTCCTGAGCTACCCAAGACTCTACCTCCCTTGGAGATTAAATCGAAAAATGTGAGCTTTTTGAGAAACCAGGGGAAACCTTCCGACTCCAATGGCAATCCAGTCACTCAGTCCTTGTCCCTTGAAAAATCTCCTAATTCCGCCTTTGTAAAGCCCCCACTAAATCGTAGTCTAGAAAATCTGGGCGTGGCCTATATTACTGCAGTATGTGAAAAGTCTCCAAAACCCCTTAGAACCGATGGAGACCCCAAGAAATCCTTTTTTAGTTTAGATTTAAACAAAAATCCTCCCCAGCTGGAATCACCGCAACAGCTCAAGGCCATACAGCAAAAGGCCAAGGAAAATTCCCAGGCCAAACTACTGCAGTTGGGAAAAATTTATAGACTCTCTAGTTCGGAGAATTCCGAAGATGATTGCCTGAGTGGGCCGAAAGTTCAAAGGAAATTATTTGATTCCAAAGACCAGCATCTGACAAGGGAAAGAATTCTCAATCCTGCCGCCTCATTAGAGGCATTGGAAATGTTAACCAAGTCCCAACCCCAGTTATGGAAATCCAATCAGGCCGGAAGTCGTCAAAATCTCCATCAATTGGAATTGTTTCATACTCTCCAAAAGGCGAGGAGTTTAAATAAAACGGATTCAAAGCCGGGTGGAAAGGTTGCCAATGATGATGAGGAAGATTTGGGTTATTCATATTGTGAGGATGATATTGAGGAAGAGGAAGAACTGCAAAAAGAGAATTTCCCAAGTAATCAGGGGGAGAAAACCCAATCCTCTCCCAATGTTACGGTAATAATGGCCAGCAAACAGGGCCAAGAGAGCCAGGTTAAATTTAAATTGACTCAAACTCATTCGGAGGTGAAAATATAGAAATGTTGAAAAAAACATTAGGAGAAGAGAGGAAAGGAGAGAGAGTAAGGGTTATTCAAGAGATGACATAGCAGAAGAAATGTTGGGAGAGATTCTATTAATTGTTTCTCTTTTTGAATAATTCGAACGAAAAGAGACCTTAAGATCCAAGAAAGCCAAGTTAAGTTTAAAATGACTGAAGCTCACTCGGAGATGAAAATATAGACATTAAAAAAAACATTAAGAGAAGAGAGAGAGGGGGAGAGAGCAAAGGTTATTCATTAGGTGACACAACACAAACAATTTTGGGAGAGATTCTCTTAATATTTTCTCTTTTTGAATTAATTAAACGAAGAGAAGCTCAAATTTATAAATAAGTACATATCTCTTAAAATTTTTGTTTTGTGTAGACATATTTAGCAGTTGATACACTAGACGAGATTTTAGGAGAGTTTCTCTCAATATTTTCTCTTTTGCAATCATCGTAGTGAAGAGAGGCTCAAATGTATAAATTAAGGCTCCTTCCGTAAAACTTTTGTTATGTACAGACCAGAACTGAGAGCAAAATAACAAAAAGAGATTATTTAAGAGAAAATGAAAAAAATAAATAGACATATTTAGCAGGTGGTAGAGAAGATGACATATTCAAAGAGATTCTGTTCATATTCTCTCTTTTTAAAAAAAGTAAGAGAAGAGAGGATAAAATGTATAAAAGAGCGCTCGTTTCTTAAAATATTTGTCATTCACAGCAGGGGTGCTCAAAACCGTGTTCTAGAACATGAAGAGAAAAAAGAGATAATTTAGGAGAAAATTAAAATTCTGTTTTTCTTTATATTTTACTATTCTATTTAATTGTTTTTAAACACGAATGTTTGCCAAAATAGTTTATAAAGCAAATGGATAAAAAATATTTGTATAAATAATGACTTAACACTGTTTTGTTCTTGATTTAAATAAGCAAAGAGAAATTTGACTGAAAACAGATATTTCTTCTTGAGCACCCCTGTTCACAGACATATTTAGCAGGTGCTACACGAGACGACATATTCCAAGAGTTTCTGTTAATATTGTCTCTTTCAAAAAATTTGAGAGAAGAGAGGCTTAAATGTATAAAATTACGCTCGTCTCTTAAACTCTTTGTTTTGTTTAGACATATTTAACAGGTGGCACAAGAAACGACATATTCAGAGAGAATCTGTTAATATTCTCTCTTTTGAAAAAAAAATGAGAGAAGAGATGTTTAAATGGATTAAATAACGTTCGTTTCTTAAGTCTTTTGTTTAGAATCATTAAAAAATGACCAATAAATGATTTTAGCGTTAAAAAATGCCCAAATCTCCCAAAAGTAATGCAGGGCAAATATTTTCGGAACCCCACCAGTCCCATGTGTCTCAAAGAATGGCTAACTATCAAGGTCAAGGAAATCAGGTTAAACTTGCAATTAACCCAACAAAAAAACACTCAAACTCAAAACATTAATTGTAAATATTAAATAGAGCTAATCACTAACACATAGAAAGAAAAATAACCCCCCCCCCCCCCTATCTCCACACCCCCTTCAAAACCACAAACTCAGCAACTAAACACTGGAAAAAAACAGATAAGCATATGGCTTGCAAAAAAGTCCCCCACAAAGAGAAAAAAACCCAAAATTTTATTAAAACAAAATACATTAACATATTGATAATAGTATTATAGATTATATTTTGTTTATACACTCAAAGAAAGAAAAAGTTAATTGAAGACGACGATGATGATAAAGAACAAATGACTGTAAGTTTTGTTAGCAACTTAAATGATATTAAACACATAAGCATACTACAAACCAAAAAAACCGTGAGAAAAAAAAAACTAGACTAAAGTTATAATTAATTTATTTTTATTTTGTAAGAAAAAAAACTAGCATTTAAGATTAGAGAGTAGTTTAAAAAAATTGCAAATAAAACCAAAAAATTACCAGAAACGGGAAAAAATCACAAAAAATACCCTCCCCCAACCCCCAAAAACTCATAAAGTCTATGTGTATGTTATAAACATTTATTTATTCTTTATGTCCGTATGTATTATACAGAACACACAAAAATTAGGTACTCTATACATATATATAGGAATACGTGTATGTGTATATTTGTTTCTCCTTGCAAAGATATATTTGAATTATTGATTAAGTCTAAGTTTTAGGATACTCTTAAGTTCAAATGCAAAACAAACAAACCCGAACCTAAAAAAACCCTCCCAAACAAAAAAACCAAATGAAGACAATGAATATTTATTTTTAGTGAATACTAATTAAGTTTATATATAAATAAAAAACCCTTATAAGTATTTATTATTTATTCAATTTATTTATTTATTTCATAATTTTATGGCAATTATTTATATTAGTTGTAAAATGCTTTTAATAGCAGGCAATAAATAACAGAAAAAATTATTAACCAATAAAAATCGGCATAATTATTTATTTTAGTTTTTATGCAGCTCCTAACAATAGGCAGCAATTAATAGGAAATTATTAAATTAATACAACTCTTAATAACAAAAAATAATAATATAATAAAGTATAATGGTGTAAATAACAATAAAATATTTTTCATATTTACGGAGCAGTTGGAAAAATGCCCTCGCTTATTGTGGTATGTCGGGCTCGATTTTGGTACCGACAATAAATCCATTTGCCAACCTCTGGAAGTTACCACCTCAGCCCCACTTTCATATTCTTTAGGGGTGACTCGTGGGTTTCTAAGGTCTTCTTCTTCTTCTAGGTGGCTTCCAAGATCCGCTATTCGTTTCGAGGTCTTAGAGGGGTGTCTAAGATCCTCTTTATTTACTTTTTATAACTTCTCGCAGAATTCGAGAATTTACAGTTGTTTTCCGTTTCCACAATTTATAACGACGATATTGACGATTGAAATTTTGGCTCACTCACCGACTGCATGAGGAGAATGCATGGCATCATAGTCTAATGCCATGCTTGAACAGATATTTCCACGTCTCACGATTCCGACGCGCCAGTCATTTTTCGAATGTCTCCTCTTTTATTTGAGCAAATTTTGAGACTTCATATAGGGAACGCTTTGCTTCAAGTAAATTCAGCTGCTACCAAATCATAGCCGCTGATCCTGTGCGGTATGCTGATACCACTGTCTTGGTTGCCGTTCTCTGCAATTTTAGTTATAATTATAAATATATATAGTATGTATGTATTGTATAGTTAAATATGGAAACCCAAAAACAACAATTTGTTTTTTATACCTTCAGTCATATGGCAATAGAGGGTATATCTCATTTAATACGGCCAAAGCCGTGCCTCATCGACAATTTTTTTTTTTTTTTTTTGAGTCGTTTTAGGGGTGTCCGACGAGTGTCTGGTTGCTAAGATCGTTAACTCTCGAAGAGATTGTGCTATTATTATCAAATATTATAGATCGAGTTCAAAGATGGGCAATATCATTCCACACCTTCTGGTACCTCCCCCACAAAATAAATTGCCTCATAGAAGAAGAAATGATCATCAAATTTGGTGCAAATTTGTAAATACTAATATTTTTTTTAGTGCTTGGTCTGGTAGGAAAATGGACAATATCCTACTCCATCAAGTACCTCACCCACAAAGGATACAAACTTCAAATAATTGTAAATTGTACGAAATATGAGTTTTAAATAATTCATATTTCGTATATCCCAATATTTTCTTAAACTCGAAATCGAGCATGAAGTTAGAATTGATCAGACCACTCCGATTGATACCTTCCCCAAAATTTGGGTCAAAATTTTGTATACCCATAAAATGAGAATTCTTTTCATTTCAATACTTCCGCCAACAAACGATCTTGTGTGAAGATTCGATTGATAGGACTACTCATTCTGATATGTCCTCCACATAGGGTCACATTTTTGAATAAATATAATTCTTATAAAATATAAAAGAAGAGTTCGATTGTCTTTAAATTTCGCACATACCAATATTTCTTGTGTGAAGATGAGATACATCGGACCACTATTTCTGGGACCTACACCACAAATGGTTGACATTTTAAATAATAATAATGCTTTTGCAATGCAAAATGCAAAATGATCTTCCGATTCTTTTCAAACATGCATATCCCAATATATAAACACAAGACAGTCATTGGCCCACAACTTCTGATACCTCCCCCGAAAATGTGGTAAAAATTTTGAATGATAAACAAATTTTTAAATACCCATAACCCTCATATTTTAAAACATAACATATTCCAATATTTCTATCAACAGCGATCTGATATGAATTTGAAATTTACAAATTTTGAATAATAAAAAAAAAAATTCGTGCAATGCCATATTTCTATCCTCCATAGATCCAATGTAAATATGGGATATGTCGGTCCACTCTTTCTGATACCTCCCATACAAAAGTTCAACTTTTTCCAAAAAAATACATATATTAAATTTTGATATTACTTTTGTTTGAAAATCTTGGAATAAATAAATAATCTAACGCAGAAAAGGTATTTTAAAATTCTCTTTAGATTTTCTCTTTCATTATTTTCTTCAATTATGCTTTCAACTCATGATATGAAATATTTAAGAGATTAATAAAATACGGCATAAGGTTTGTATCTTAAGTCTTTTGTTTACATGGTGCTGCTGAAAGAGAAAAGCAATGAGAGATTCTCGTATTGCGCTCATCTCAGTTGAGATTTAAAGAGAGCCTCAGTTGCTGCATAAAACAACGACTGCATTTTTAGTTCTCTGTTTATATATCATTGAAATTGATCAAGAGTTCATTGGAGTACATCTCTCCGTATTTTCTCTTTGAAATGAAATAATTAAAGAGAGGTTAAATTGTAATAAGGCATGTTTGTGTCCTAAGTCTTTTGCCACACAAATAGAAATATAAGGGCATATCTCAGATACCGATCGTAATGGTCTCAATTAAGTAACATAATTTCGATCGTGTTTATTTAAGCTACTTCAGATTCCGATGAATTTATGTATCTGTTATTAAAACAACGTTTTTGTTAATTTAAAGGGTTTCAAGAGAGTACAAATTTCTTATAGAAATACAATTCTACTTGAAAATCGAAAGTGTTTTCATTCCGAAAAAAATCGTTTATGAAGAAGCTAAATATGGAATTACTTTAACTTTCGTTTGGGAATTCGTTTTTGTGACATGCCTGATTTTAATGATTGATTATTACATTTAAGGTTCTCGTCTAGAATTTTTGCATGATCAAAAATTATTTTCGTCATTTTCATTGTCATTTATCTCATGGCAATTCATGTTCACCTCAAATACCAATGTGAAATAAATTTCAATAATACAAACAGACAAAAATTATACAACAACAAAAAAACAGACCAAAAGTGAATTTATTCTTTGATTTTATTTTTGAAAATTAATTTCTATTTTGTTTGGCCATTAAGGGAAGCAACAATTTTGATCAGCCAACACAACATGGGTGAGTTGAGTTTGGGCAAAAGAAAAAACGCTAAAAATAATAAAAAAATGTAAATGAGGTTAGTTTTAAATATTTCGAAATAAAAACATGCAGTGCCCTCATTGGAATTGAAAAGTAAGGCCCCATGGATTTCACATATACTACTTCTCAAATACATTACTTTTCCACGTAGAATTTTCTCTCTAAATTTCACAACACATCTCTAAAGCTTATGCTTTTTCCATAAATATTATTGATATTTTTATAATTTTTTTTAAATATTTACAAAAAAATATTTCTTTAAATTTTAATCTTTAATTTCCCTTAGCAAGATTTTGTGGATCCGTACAAAGGCAGTAATACCTATATATTTTAATTCCTACTACTTTTGAAACGAAACACACACAAAACGTGTCACAAACAGTTTTTAGAAAACGAATTGAGTTTCGAAACGATTTTGAACGACTACAAAGGTAAATGAATTTTTCAATAATTTTCCACAGCAAATACGAAAATGGCACAAACTTCAATTGCCTCTGGAATGACTCAAAGTTAATAATTTATAAAGCAAGAAAAAACTGTCGGATTATTATTTTTTTTTCTAAAAAAAAAAAATAAACAAAATAAAGAAATAAAAAAAATTTGAAATCTTTTTTAAATATTGAAATTAATTATTTTGAACAAAAAAAATATTGTTATTGCAAATTATTTTCCCATTGGCAAATTTCAATTCATTAAAATGCATTTCATTCATTTCTCTTGCATATTTCCTCTCTTTGTCTCTCGCTCTCTGTTATTTGCATATACAGAGCTGTCTCTCTCTTTATTGTCATTGTTGTGTTTTGTAATATTGTTGCTGTTGTTGATGTTTTTTTGTTGTTATTGTTAACGTCCATGGTGCAAATGATTTTAACACCGCACGACAGTTTGTTTTTATGAATTATTAACTTTGCATGAATTAAACAAAAATTAATGCAAAATTTTATAAAAAATAAGAATGGCTTTTGTAAACTCAAACGACTAATTTTTTTTCAATGCTTTGGAATGTAATATTTAAAAAATTTACGGAACAGTAAGTATATGTGTGTGTGTTTTTAACCAATTACTAACGACTGAAATGTCAAAGAAAACAATGCCAAAGGTGTCAATGTGGGTTTCTCTGGGAAAAGAGGCAACAAAGAGCAGCATTTTTAGGGAAAGTCAAAATAAAAGAGCTCGTAAACAAAATATACCCTTTTTTATACGGATCCTCCTGAGAGAAAATCAAATGGGTAATAACAGATATTAAAATTAATATAAAATAATAATAAATAATATCAATAATAATAATAATAATAATAATAATAATAATAATAATAATAATAATAATAATAACAATAATAATAATAATGATAATAATAATAATAATTATAAT